CCCGCGCCGAGGGTTCCGGCCTGCCGCCGCCCGCGGGGGGCCCCGCCGCCGCCCGCCTCCGGTCCCGGCCCCGGGAGGCGAAACCCAGGGCTGTTTTGCTGGGGGTGGGGTCCCGGTTTGTGCGCGGCGAAGGGGAGCCAGCAGAAGGAGGAGGTGGAAAAAGCTGACCTTCCGGCGTCGCCCCGGGCCTGCGGGGCTCACCCCCGTACCTCGGGGATTTTTTCCCTCTAAGTGGCCGCAGACGGATACAGAAAATCAGCCGTGAAACCCAGACGACCCCCATTTCTCCTTTTTTACACCTGCAGGCCTAAGTAGAGAGAAAACACGTTTTCCCTAATGTTCGAGCGCTAGCTAACCCAGGGCAGATAAAGCTTTGAACATGCCCTGCCCGGCTGTCTTTACCAAACCGGATTTTTCACATCTATTGGAAAAAGCTTGTACAAGACTTCTCCTGTCAGCAAGGCCCATCGATCTGTTTTTGCATCAGCTAAAATACCTACTAGCGCTGTTCAGGTTACTTACACCACCAAGGAAGGAGGATAAGGTCTGAGGAAGGGGCTTTGGTTATTATACAATCAATTCCTTTACTGCAAAGATACTAAACTGGGTCCAGCTGATCTCTCATAATCAGCACTATAATCATTATCTTGAAAGATGCCCTGCACACAAAGTACGATGAAAGCAACCACTGAAGTGAGCCTCCACGGTCCCTGCAACATTTGCAAATCCTTCTTTGAGTCACACTCCTCAGCTCTCAAAAGGTTTTGTTTCTCCCCTGCAATTAAAAAAAAAAAAAAATCTTAAATTAAGAATGAAGTCAATATATGCATGGCTGGAAGCAACACTTCTCACATCTTGAAGTTGAGCGACCGAGTCATTTGCAAAAAAAAGCAAGCATCAGGTTAGCAATACTATCATGAACCACAGAAACGGTAGTTAAGCAGCTGAGGTCTTAATTTCACATGCATGTTTTCCCTATACACGGCTCTTGAAAGCGGTCCTACAGGCACAGGTGTTTCACATCCAGTCAGTCTTTCCACCAAAGACAAACCTCTCCAACGAGACAATGAGAACGAAAGCCTCCCGCACACACAGAACCAAAACCGCACATCCCGATACTGGCACAAACTGCTCTTACAACCTATACGTTTTAGTAACGAGAGAGGCAGACAGGAAAACAGGCAATTATACAAAAGAATTTATTCCAAAAGTTGTGATAAAAAAATTTCAAATCCAAAAACCAAGGCACGTTATAAACATCTGGTAAGAGAATACATTCATTGAAAGTCTCAGGTTAACAGGCTGCGCCGCAGGAGCGATCCCGGCAGGCAGCACACCTCGCGCGTTGGGATTTAGATCTGCCAGGCTGCCTTCACCCTGGGCTGAAGCTCTCTTCCAGTTAAGGCCAAGCTTGCTCGCTCTCCTCCAAGAATGCAAGGGACCCAAACCTAAGCACAGCTCTTTAAGTGGTCACGCCGGGCATTCGGACAAATCAATCTTTAGACATCCCGAATACGTGCAACTACAGTTCAAGTAAATGGGAGAGAGGGATTTAAACCTACCCTTAATTTCATGTTAGAGAGCAAGTTTTGCTTGCATATGTAGGCACTTAACTTCCAGAGTACCCTCTGAACCGAGCAGTTTTGTTGAAAAGCATTTTCACTGTCCTGACAGGCTATGACCTTAGATGTATACAAGAAAAACAAGGATTTTTATAAACACTAAACAGAAGCCCACATCTTTATCGAATGTAAGCTCTTCGTATACTAAGTACAGAGTGTAGTTGAACATTGCAGTTCATTTTAACCTACTTCCAAAACCAGAGCAAACATGAAAAACCCTTTAGAGACTATACTGAGGTCCTGCAGACGGCCTGTCTCCACAAAAGGAGAACACGGTTTAGGAATATTACCTCTGTTTGAATTTGAATGGAATTACACAGCTATAGCACTGTATGAGAGCCAAAATAATTTAAAGCCTTAAATACAAACCTACCCTTTGATACACTGAAAACATCCCATCGCTTTAAAGTGTAGTACTGCAGAACACAACTGTACACATTTCCAAGTAAGAGTTTGTCTTTGCCTAGTAATTTTAAAGCGATTATAAGCCAACTTCCTAAATACAACTCAAGCGTAGAGTATGAGAGGAATACAGCATGTTCCATTGTGTCAAGAAATGAGAACCTTCCCATGTTGAAATAGTTTAAAATGCATTTGACTCCAAACAATTTGAAATGTAAACCTGTCTATCTGCTTTGAAGAGTAGGTATCTGAAGTGCAACATTTCCAAGAGTCCGTCAGTTATGGATACTTCTTCCTATAGGACTCCTCCTCTACTTACCTACTGGGACAAAACGTACAGGCTTTGCTCCTTAATAGCATTATACAATAACATTTTCTTACAGCCCACATGACGCTGTTACAGCAGTTTACATTCCTTTTCCAGTACTAATGAGAATTTATATTTAAAGTGCATCTCAAATCAGAAATCTCTAACTAATATACAAGAATAATATGCGAAGACTGGTGGAAGTATATTTGCTAACTCAAATCACTGTGATACCTCGTACCTTTTGATTTACTGGTAGGACAAAGTTCAGACAATTCAGAAGACTTCTTGCAAATAAGTATAGCTACAGATTGTGGTGGGGTTTTTTTGTTGTTGTTTTGTTTGGGGGTTTTTTTTGGTTTTGCTTTTTTTTTTGCAAATGGAGCTGCACACACATACGTAGAGGGCAAAATTTATCCTACAGAGAAACATTTAATTTGGTAAATTAGTAGAAGGTTTTTGGTAAGTGAGCTTAAGCTTTTAGTTCAGAAAGTTATTTTTCAATACTCAGTACTTTTCCTAACCATCTTCTCCAATTCACCCATCACAGAAACTTTAAGAAAACCAGATTTGTTAGTTTCTGTAGGAAGAAAAAAAAACATTTGCTCTATAGCTCCAGCTTAAATACCTGCAACTAAATGTGAAATCTTAAATACATTGATTTAAAAACCAAACCTTTGCTGGTGTAATACCATGATCTTTTGGAAAAAAGCTCCCTAAAGAACATAAAATCAAGCAGCTCCAGAGTCACCCAGTTACAAAAAAATTACTCCTTAGAAACAGTAAATAGCACAGATTGTTTCCTCTGATTTTACTAGTTAGCAGTTTGAAAACATTTTTTTAACCTTTATAAGACATCACACAAAGTTTCAGTACCATTTGGATGAAGAGACAAAAGTCACTACGTTCACTGTGGTTGAAGAGAACGTGATCTTAAAGGCAAAAAGCAATTGTCACTTGAACTAGTACACGGTTCTTGCTGCTCTGACTGGAGCTCTAGGGGGAGAGGGGGTGCACCGGGGTCTCCGGGCCCTGGAAGGGTGGCTGAGAAAACAGCGCTCTCTGCAGCATTTCCCATCTCTGCAATTGGTAAATTCATTGAATGAAGAGAGACAGCAGACACAAATGCAGCGGTGCTATAATCTTCTTCTGGATGATGTATCTGGGCAGATTCTTTGTCTTTTGTTTTATCAAAAAAATTAGATTCATCAGAATATGATCTAGAAAGATTATTCGTTCCTCCATACAGTGAGGTCATACAGGTGCTGCAGCTTAGACCTAAGACAAGAAACAGACTGGATTTAATCACAACATAGTGCACTCTCAAAACTGCGCTCTGATTTAATATCAGTAAGATTGTCAAAGATCAATTGTCTGTATTCTTAACAGACTAATGTCTTCATCTCACCTGTGACACCCCAACATTCATGGCAAATTAAAAAATACATGCAGGTTATCCAGGCTGACGTGAATGATTTCTCTATATCTCTGTATCAGCTACTACTTGACAAAGATGCACCGTAACTTAAGCTTCATTTTAGGAAGTCACTTTAGCCCTTTGAACTATCTTTTGATAGATTTTTCTCACTGTGTTCTTCAAACTTCTAAAAGCTTCAGCTACATGATTCTACTCCAAAGTGGACTGCATTTGAAGGCTGTTTTTACCTGAAGCCAGAGAAAACTTCAGACCTTTCATCTCTAGGGTTAAAATGTACTTCTTCCTTCTGTACTTCTCTTTTGATGGGTGTGGAAGGGGAAGTAACATTTTTGGTTTAGAAGGCTTATGCTTTCTTTATCTGCCTTAAAACATGAGTACATATAGTTACTTCAAGCTTTGTGTGTCAACAAAACCTCTCTATCTATATGATGTAACACATTCATACATTTACAGTGTCTTAATTTTAAGTTTTGGCATTGAAGGCATATGAGAGAATTGCCCTCAGGTTGCATGTGCTGGCTTATCTTCTGCTGAGGTACAAAGTTGAACAAAACCAGGGCATCCTGCCACTGCAGTAAATAGCTTCAGGAGAAATGCAAGATGGAAGATAATCACCTATTTTGAGTTCTGAGTTAGAACCTCATAGAAAGCAAAACTGAAATGTGAAGACGGACTTACCCATCGTAACAACACATAATAGGGTTTTTTGCAATTTGTTATTTATGATGTGTTCAGATAGCAAAAAGGCGAAGCCGGGATACATGCACTAGGATCTTAAAACCTAAACTGGTAATATTTCCAAGAATATTGTCCCAAACACTAGAGGAAGCAAAAAAAAAAAACAAACCAAAAAACACACCACAAAACCCCCATACAACCAACCTGTACTAGGAAACATGATTTAAAGAATTGTTGGAGTTTTAATTTTGCAGACCCTCAAAATAAAACTTATATCTTACAAAATATTACTATAAACTTCTCACCTTTGAGAGCTTCAAGTTTTTCATTTTTGACTTTCAACACTACGTCAGTTATCTTTTGTAACAGGAAGTTTTGTGTTCTTTCTCGTCTGATAGATTCAATCAAAGCATCCAGTCCCTTTGGGTTTTCTGCTAAGTAGTCCAATAACTTCCCAGTTTTTTTCCTGCTGGAAGATCTAGAAGAAATTTCTTCTGTGTCCTCTCTAGTGAGTATTTTCTTTGAACGCAGGTAATCAAAGTGTCTCTCAGCTATGATTTTGTCACACAGGTAAGGACGCATCCTTTCTAAAGCCTGAAAAACAAAACAAACTAGTATTAGCCAATCTTTCAATTTATTTAGAAGCCTGTATTTGAAACCTTTATGATTTTGATACAGGTTAATGAAACAATTTTTAAAGCCATGACCACGATACTTAGCAGAGATTTTTCTCAGTGTAAAAAAAAAAACCAACAAGTTTTTTTTAAAAATGTTATCTAATTTAATTACCCCTTTCATTGGTTTCCTTTGAGTGAACTCAGGAGTTTAAAGCATGTTAAGTAATAAGGTGAATACTTACTGAAAATGTTAGTTACATCAAGTCTGTGGTTATCACATTTCAGAACATTCACAAAGTAAAAAGGAAAAGAAATTATACCAACAAAACACAACAGCACCTACACACTTTGTCTACAGACACACTCATTCTCACTGACTACCCAATTGCCACATTTCCATACTACTTGTACCCACGAGGCACAACTCCAAAATAGTTTGATTATTGATGTTTTCTGTACATTGAGTAAAAGCAGTCTCAGAGCAATAGCATGAATACACTCACTGTTTAAAAGGTTTGTTAAATAAACACCACTATTCACAAGTTCAACAGATTACTGGCATCCAAAATACATGCACTTTCATCCACAGATGTACCTACTCTCAACAACTTTACTGGCTGATTTTTGTCTTCATCAAGCTGCCTTCTTTTGGTTTAAGATTTTGTATTAAACACCTGAAGCAACTTGCACACCTCTAACATGCCGCACAGACCACTGGGAGTTAGTGCAACTCTAATGACTCTGGCAAAAGCAAAACGACTACCCTCTGCAGCATAACTTCAGCTTACAAGTGTAAACTCGTTGCTTAACTCTTCTCCACAACCAGCAAAAAGAAAGAAGTGGAACAATCTGCCCGTGGGAGGGGACTTCCATCCATGGTCTAAAGACCCTAACATGCAGTCAATTAACATTGGGTTTGATGAAGCAGACATCTGTCTTGAGCACTTTAGCAGCAGTGCCACTTTGCATCTGCAGGAACTGTAACACCTCGTTATCAGATCACATTCCCTCAGAGATCTTCTTTCTGAGGAAACATGATATTTTTTGTCACCATATTCAATTCTAACCTGGCTACCAATTTATTTTTGAGGTAATTTTATAGGAGCAATGTCAGAACTAAAGACTGCCATGTAACCACTTTAATTCCTCCTTGGAAGATCAAGTGAGCTCCTATACTGACCAATTTTTACAGTTATCAAAACAGAAAACAATCTTCCTCCACCTTCTTCAGAGGGTACATACAAGCACAAACATCGCCAAAATGTAAATAATATTCATCTTATTTCAATCTGTACATTAACTAGCCTGCTTGATATCAACATCGAAACAGAATTAATGCATGTGTTCACTACTCTCTGGCTTCAGTATCTACTACTCTATGAAGATAAGAGTCACAAATGACATCTCTGTGCTTGAAAATAATACTACAAAATCGGCAGTTTCTCCTGCCACATTTTTCACTGTGCAGAATTACACAAGAAGTCAGATACGCACTAGATGAATATTACTGATGTGAAAAAACTAACACCCCCTCCGCCCAAGTTTCATTTGATTCAAAAAAAGAAAAAATATTTGAGAGCCAGAAGGAAAAGCACCTTTACATACAAGACATGTGAAGAGATGGAAAGAAACGAAAATTCTTTCCTGAAGAAAGTTTTCAAATATCCCCCTGCTTTTTGAGATCAGATTCCATAGCAGCAGCAGCAGCATTTAAAAATTAAAATTTGAAAATGACTGTTTGCCTTACAGCCATTTACTAGCTCAGTAAATAGAAGTGAAGGAAAAGCTAGATATAAAGGTGCACTTTAAGACAGATTATTTCAAACAGCAAAATACTGTCTGGCACACTGGTGCTAGGGAAGGCACCAATAACTCTTAAAAAAAAAAAAAAAACCAACAAACTCCCTGGACTGCTCCACTAAGTATAGCAGAGGATAAACGCGTTCTTCTCATTACTCTTTAGGATGCAACAAATACTAAGCTATCAATAAACAGCCTGTGGTTACACAGTTGTTAAAGAAGATATCAGATGAGCATGCATGGAAGACAAAGGAAGGCTTTTGGCAGTAGACTATCACCACTAGATTGAGTACAAGGTAAAACCGAAAACTAAGGGTGCAGCTCCATGGCGGCCAATTTAAGTGCAAGAACACTCCGCCCTGCATGGCGGCCACATGTTCCTACCCTTTCCCTTGTACTGGTGGACGAGAAGATTCAGTCAAGAAACTGTATTGGTGCCTTTTTTTCCCCCTCCCACAGCCAGATTAATTACCCGATCCAGTTTAACATGCAGTCACACTGGCACTAGTGGTGGCATAACAACTATGATAAGAGCAGAAAAGCGTGACAGTACAGCTTATATCAATTTAGGTGGCTCTGGAACACATCTCAAGTGCCCAACTGCAACAAGCCCATGCCTGAACGGTTACGAATGTAGTAGGCGATAGAGATTTCTTCAGTTCTCACGGAAATCTCGTCCTACCACCAGGAGGATCAGTCAACAAACTCTGAAATGTAAGTCAGTTAAAGTTTCAACATTAAAAGAATAGAATGAGTTGTTATTGAATAGAAAGACTATGGTGTTTTGACTAACATCTTCCTGTAACGAGTCTTTCACTGTAGGAAGCGTATCAGTTCAGAATTCCCCTCCACACTGTCCTCATAGGTTAACAGTTTGTGAGGGACAGAAAGAGCAAACACATTGGAACAGAAGCTTTAAATATACTTTGCTTTATATCGATTATTTTGTATGGTTCACTGCTTCCTTCCCAGCTCTTGAATGTAAGACTCCAACCTTTAGAATTTCTTCTCAAGACAAGTTTACCCAGACCAAGTTATCCTTGCAAGTTAGCTTTCTGAGGTACGCTGTCACATAATATACACAGAACTTCTGGTAATGCAGCACTTCTGTTTGAAGTGACCCTATCAAAGTTACTTTAACAGCTTTGAAACAGCTAAGTGAATTTACACTGAACCAGCACTTTGTATCACGAAGCCGCAACATTTAAAATCTGAGAGGAGCAGCTCTAAGGTTAGATTTATTGTACTGTATTTTGATGATAGAACTAATGTTATTTCTTTCTACATATTAGGTTTCCATCAAGTCCTCCAATTACTATGGGAGACTCTGTAAGATTAAAGGTTGAAGTGACATACATGCACTTCTGTGAGATGCAGCCGTGAATTCAGTCACTGATACAGGTTAACATACATATCGTGTTATATATATAGCCTGACTTCAGTAGTTCTTATCTTTTTTTGGTGTAACTGCCGGATGCTAACGACTGCACTGGTAGTAGTTCTGTGGTTCCACAGAAGCAAGTAATAACTTGAAAAACATGCCTCACAAAACTATGACAAAGCATTTAAAGAAAATTATGTACGTATTAAGAAAATTATGTAGCTTTAACTAGTAAGAAATCAAAACTGAACTCCAAACATTCTTTATTGTACTTTAAAGGAAGATAAAAACCCCAAATAAGTCAAACATAAGACACTGCAAATGACAAACAGGAGCAGAGATGGTCAATAAATAATTGATAAACTGTGATTTTTTAAGTTTTTTTTTTTAAATTAACCAATCACTTGTTGAGGTTGGTTAGCGCATTGCTTGCTTCCCAGTCTAGCAAAGAGATAAGTAAATCCAGACTGAATCAGGATGCAGCCTTCCCTCAGATTCCAGACATCAGTGAATAAATATGGGGAAAAAAAGTCAGAAAAATACAGAACAAAAAGCCTCAAAAAATTATCAATATTCAATCCAAATATTCATGGTCTGTAAGAGAGAACCGTATTAAAACCAAGAGAAGCACGTACATTTGCAGCTAACCTTCGGATACCATATTCATTACAAATCACTTCTACCCTGCTTCCTATGCCTCATCGTGGTACACAGAGACACCACGAAAACCCAACCCTCGCTACCCCGGCCTTAAAACGCGACAAAGGACTAAACCGCTTAGAGGAAAACAAAAGAAAAGGGAACTTTCAGGTGAATACCTGGCCCCAGGGTTAAGTTTCTGCAAGTCGTTATCAGCCTTATGCCAGGGAGGGCCCTGGAGGCCCGAGCTGCGGGCAGGGTGCCCCGGGGGCCCCCGCCCGCCGCCGCGGAGCCC